TTTCAGAACCATCTCAGGAACAGATTTGAGGCTTTGAACACTAATGAATGAAGGCCAGATGAGTTGTGGGAGGATATCAAGGGGACAAAAATAGGAAGTAAAAAATTAATATGAATTTGAACTTGTCCTTTCATTCTAGCTTCAAGCTCTTAGGTGTCAGTCTGGGAAAGGATAACATGTTTGGAAAGGTAGAGGGTCAGAGACGGAGACAAAGACCCTTAATGAGATGTACAGACACTGGGACTAACAAGGGATTTGAGCACAACAGAGATTGTGAGGATGGGACAGTGTTAGGGACCATTTAGAGCCGTTGTCCATGGGATCACTGAGTTGGAGTCGACTCTACAGCACTCAATAACAAAGGGCTAAATTAAATCAGTGGAATACTAATTATCAAGAGAGGATCACTTTCTGTCATCTAGACTAAAAGTGGATTGAGTTGATCTAAGAGCCTGCCTTTCATTTAGGTTCCCAGCGACCTTTGGTGCAACCTGTGATGAATACTGCTGTCTGCTCTGCCCCTTTTTCATTCCCATCTTTGGGACCTCAACTGATTCTTCAGGTAAATCATTCCTCTGGCACCCCATTTTTAAGACATCATTTGACTTCAACTCAAGCTAACTCTATCTGAAACACTTTGTGCCAGATGTGTTTTATAAAAATTTTGGGAGCTCAGAACATACATACCTCTGTAGAGATGAGTCAATTCCAGTTGTTTTAGGTGTCATTGAGTCAACCACAGTCATGGTGACCCTACGAGCCACAGACTGAAATGATCTCCGCCATGCTCAAGCCTGCAGTTACAGCCACTATGTCAATTGTCAATGCATCATGTTGAGGGGCGCTCTTTATTCTTGCCCTTTCGCCAGCATGATGTCTTTTTCCAAGGACTGGCTCCTGACAACATGTCCTAAGTATGAGAAGTGAAATTCTCTCAGCTTTGCCTCTAAGGAACACAGGGTCATACTTCTCCCCAGACAGACGTGATTGTTCTTTTGACCACCTATGGTGTATTCAATACTCCTTGGAAACACTACAGCTCAATGGCAACAATTCTTTGGTTTCTTTATTCATTGTCCAACTCTCCAATGCGTATGAGGTGATTGAAAATACCATGACTTGGGTCAAGTGCACCTGTCTTAGACCAGTATCTTTGCTTCTCAGTACTCTAGAGGGGTCTTTGACTGCAGTGTTGCCCAAGGCAATAGTCTTTTTATTTCTCAGCTGCTGCTACCATGGATGTTGAGTGTGGATTCAAGTAAAATGAAATAATGAACAATTTTAATCTTTTTTTCTATCATGATATTGCCTACTGGCCTAATAAGCAACTGTCTGTGCTTTCCAGACAAAAGGGAGCTCTGGTGGCCTAATGGATAAGGAGTTCCACTGCCAATCCAAAGGCAGGGAGTTCGAATCCACCAGCTGCTCCCATACAATATATAGCCTTTGAAACCACCTGGAGGGTCAGCTATGAGGCCATTTTGACCCAATGGTAATAAGCTCAATTAGTACCAAACTCACACTGCTTGGTTTTCAGAGCTTTTTGGACTTTAGAATTGCAGATAGAGGGTTGGTGGACTTGTGAAATACAGAAAGAATTCTTTGAAGGACAAGCCTTTAATGCAAACTTTGTGATAAATGAATACTTTCTCCCACATTTCTAGTTACCTCTTCTTTCCACTGTAACCTCTAACTTGCTGCTCAGACACATTGGACAGAGTCCTGTCCACCTCATAGCACTGGCTTTTCTTCTAGAACATTGCACTCCTGTTACTACATGCCTCACGCCTCAGTACTTTGCCTAAACAACCACTCAATGGGTCTCTGTTTTCATTTTGAAAATTCCTTCTCTGAATGTCCAGCTTTCCTTTTCTCTTCCACAAGCTGAGGTCTTTTCCACATTTGATTTGCTTGCTTGCTTTTTTTGAAACTTTTTTAAACAATGTCAATTCCATGAAGACGGAGGTTTTAGTCTCTTTTAGTCATTGCTGTATCTCATAGGGAGCTCTGGTGGCTTAGTAGTAAGAAACAGGGTTGCCAAATGCTAAGGTACAGGATTCGAATCCCCCAGCTGCTGTGTGGGAGAGAGAGGAGAGCAATCTCCTCCTGTGAAACTTACTGCCTCTGAACACCCACTGGAGGGTCGGTTACGGGTCATAGCTCTAGATACAGAGCATGCTAGAACTCGGTAAAGCATCTGAATAAAGTCTCTACATATATATTTTTTTCAAGTACATACATATGCTTATGCTAAAGCTTGCACATCACAGAAGTAAAAAATATTGATCTTTTAGAAGAGTATTGTTTGCTTCCACACACGTGGAAAAATGCACTTAGTGCAGGTTTGTGGTTTTTGCTACATAGGAGTTCGTGATGCGAGAGCTTTAATAGCACCACCAGAACAGGAGGCTGATGCTCTGAATTGTGGGAGGGAGAAAAGGAATGGAGAGAGAGGCTGTAAGCAGGTGAAATGAAGGTGTTACGATGTTGCCACTACAATATGGAGTGATGAATTCAGTGTGCTGGTCAGTGCAAGTGTAAAGCAGCACTGCAGAGTTCTGAGCGAGTCTGGGACAGAAGGAAGGGCAAGTGGAAGCGCTCTGGGCAGAACTGGGCACGGCCACTCCTGGAGGCCGCAGTGGCCAGAGTGGGCAGCCCAGGAAGGTGACACCGGGAGCAGCAGGAGGAGGAAGTGCAGGCAGTGAGGACAAGCTGAGTCAGCTGTGGGGATTCCATGGGGAGAAGCATCAGAAGCCACATCCCTGTCCTGTTATTTCGGAGTGGGATGACAAAAGAAAGGGAGGAAAAAGGGAGGCCTGTGTGCAGTCTGAACACTGGCTCAGACCAGAGTGAAGAGAGGAATCTTAGGGGTTTGGCTTCAGCAAGAGTTTAGTAAAATAGACGATCAAGATAGAAATGGTATTTTTGGTTTCTGTTTTGAGATGTACATAGTGATAAGGGAATAAGTTAGGAATCAGTAATTCTGTTGACTATTAAACTTTCATTTTGCTAAAGAAAATTGGGGGGTATCAACTCAACCCCTGCTGTTGCGTGTATTGTGCCAGTAACCCAGTAACCCAGTGACTGGATTTCCAAAGTTGTAATCTTCACAGGAGGGGACTGCTCAGCTCTCTTCATAAAGTGGCTAGTGGATTTGAGCCAGTAGCCCTTTGATTAACACACAGACCATATTTAAAGGCCGAGAATGGGTGAGTTCATACTAGGAGAGGATGTAGCTATAAATAATGACATTAATGCACTGAATACAAAGACCACAGAATCAGACCATCAATATTCTTAACTAATTTATTTTAAAATAGGCAAAGTATTAATTGTAGAAAATAGTAACATAGCAAGTTTAAAGTTTAAATGTTTCAGCAAGTACAAAAAAAAGCAATAAAGCAATGTCTGAAGCCTTAAGAATTCTCAATACATGATCTCTGAAGTTCCTAAAATTCGGATACTAAGTCTAATGTGAACATATTAGCAAAAGACACAGTAACATGGTTGGCCTGACTTAAAGGCTAAATGCTTGTATAATATTCATGCAAAAATTAAAGAGGAAATGGAGCAAGGCTTTCTTGTGCCTTTGTTATTGAGATACCTGTCAAAATAGTAGGTTTGGAAACTTGACTGAGCCAAAAAAATTTTGGTTTTCTAACAAGAGGTCTTTTTAAGAATAATTCTGGGGTTTAGATAAAATGAATTCCCTAAGAGAGCTAACTGATGCTAACTTAAATACCTCCTACTTTAAATTATAGCATCTCTAAATAAATTAATCACACAAGATAGTTTAAATACACCTTAAGGTGCTCGGGGGGAAAGCGCCTCTTCTTTTTATGAAGCTGTTTTAATTTGAAGCTTTTGCACTAATCAGATGGACACAAAGATCTTTGATTGCTTGCAATTTGGGACTATAAACCATCTGGCTTTGAATGTGCTAGTGTTAGCCCATACTATCTAGAAGATATGTTTTTCCGGAGAAAACACAAATCTCTCCAAATTTAAGAGGGCTGACTAATTATTAATAATTAGACAAATCTCGGGGCAAGGGGAGGAGGTGGGGATTAAGGCTCTATAGTTAACAGTCTGTTTACAGAGAAAATTTCACTTCTATTTTGACTATTCAGGACCCCTAAACATTAGAAAGTGCACTTGGGAATATATGGTTATTAGGGTCCTCTAGAAAAGCTCTAGCCAAAATGTTCTTTTTTGTCAAGTACTAGCTGGGTGCTTTGTAACTTCAGTGATCTGGCGTTAAAACCAAGAGGACTATTACTAACCCTCATTTTAAAGCATGAGTTGGATGGAGAAGAGAATGAAGAGGAAACTGACAAATGCTGAGGTATGAAATCTGTGTCAGTAGTATCATGTTTAGACTTTGTCTGCTGCTGGCATTCGAAAGCTAAAATTCTTAAAACAAACACAGAGGACATCAGATTCCAACGGTAAAGTCAAATGTAATGCTTAAAAATTAGTCATTATCTCTCTTTTCCCCCTAGCTTCTAATACCCATTGTAGCGGAAGAGATCATGATCATTTGGGCGCATCAGCTGGTCATCCAAATGGCATTTGGAAGACAGGACATATTTTCTGAGGGTGTTTGTGTTAAATAAAAAATACATATATAAATTAATAAAAACAGTAGCAAACATCTCACATATGTAAAAGGCAAAGTACTGAGAAAGACGACTCCGTGGGGAGGAGCCACGCAGCTCAGGCCTCCTCACCACCGGGAAACAGAGTAATTGGGCTTCGGGAATGGACATCATCTGCTACAACGGTTTAAAAGGCAGGATTTACATGAGATTTCCGATCATGTAGCGACAAGGACTACAACATGGTAAGTGGTCTAGGAATCCCATGCACAAATTCAACTTGCATCTTCACGTATCTCTTAACTGAAGAGGAGTTTGAACGTGGCTGTAAACCAAGTGAGAGGAAGTCAGAGAAACGAAGCTGGAGGTGGACACGGCGCCCACACCGCGGTCCTGAGGGCCTCACTTCTCCTCCTTGTCTGAGGTATCTGTGCTGTCGTTCATTTGCTGCTTGTGCATCCGGCTTCGGGTGGAGGCTGCAAAGAGGAAGAGGAGCTGTTAGCCGCGCACGTGGTGCCAGGTGCATCGAGAAGGTGCCGTCATTTACGATACACGTTTCTAATCAATGGTTCTCAGGGCCTTTCAAAAGTAGGTGCTTTCTAAATGGTTTGGATCACACAGCCCTGTCAGTACATTTGTTCTGAACACGTGTGTATTCATTAAATACACACCGTAGTCCTACGGTTGTGCTCGAGTCCCTTCATCGTGCACCCAGTTGGCGTGCTAGGCCGCTAACCGAAATGCTGGCGGTCTGAAACCGCCCACGGCCGCCTGGAGGAAAGGCCTGGCGAGCCACTTAGGACCAGACAGGACGATGGGACTCCGACAACACACACGGTGTCGTCTGTCAGCGCGGACTCAGCAGCGATTGGACTGGTTTTGGTTTTACAGCTGACTAATAAATAGTATAAAGCATGCAACCCCCAAGCAAATGGAAAGAGCGAGATACAAACAAGGAAGCGCTTAACAGTTCCCGCATCCCCTCTTGGGGTACGTGCACCCCACTTTCATACACTAAGCCACAGGGGATGCGGTTGGATTGGGATGCACAGCGCCAGGCGAGAGCCCTGCGCATGCCCAGACCGGACGTGCCGAAGAGAGTTAGAGCTTTTCTAAAGGAGAAGCCCTTCCGCGCAGAGATGCCTTTCATCGAATACCGTAAAGACATCAGCTCGTTCAATATGATATAGGTAGTTTAAAATTACTTTATTCATTACAATAGAGATAAAAGCAGAATACTTATTTAGAAACTTTTAGAGCTCTTTATAAAGAAGCACAGAGAATATTCACACTTGGAAAGGAAAGAAAAGAAGGTCTCTCCCCAGCTCCAGCGTTGTGTGCTGACCTTTTCTGAGTGCAGTTCTCTGAGGAGCTGAGAGTGTTCTGGGGGATCCCTCAGCCTTAGGGCCTAAAGCTCCCGCTGCTGCTCTCTCTCCAATGTTCCCACTGCACGCGGGCCCTGCAGAGGAAGCTCCCAACACAGCTAAGTGGGCCACTGGGAAGTGGGCCACTGGGAAATGTACTGACTACAGCGACAGACTCTTGTTTAAGCAAGCAGGCATGTTTTCTCTTGGAGCACACCCACCGCAGCCTCCACTAGCTGGAGACGAGAACTACACGGTGCCTGACTACCTCTACTACTGACTACTCCACTCAGGGTCACAACATAAAGTCCTGAGCAGAGAGGGAGGAGAAAAAAAAGCACAACAAATACGTTAAAAAATGCCAAATGACGTATTTACTGGTCTGATAAAACTAGTGGAACCCCTGGGATAGTGGCCTTTAAACACCCGTCAAGCCTGGAGATTAGCACACCCCCAGGGGTCACCTTTTGGCTTAATAACACAAATATAAAATGAACAAGGAGGATGCACTCCTCAATAGAGTCTGAGGAGACAAATGGGTAGCATCTGCCCAAAAAGCAAAGCTTAGAAGGCAGAAAGGGGCAGGCGAGAAAGATGAACAGAAATGGGGAATCCAGGGAGGGAGAAGGTAGAGTGCAGTCATATGGCAGGGCAGCACTTAAGGGCAGGCTGTTGGGTGAAAAATGAATTAAACTTACACCCAAATGACTACAAACAAAAAAAAGAAAACAGACATGTTTTTACAGCTTTCTCCTCCTCCTTAAATACATATTTGTGGGCTCCAAAATGCTTCCACATGTTTTCAAGGCATAAGTTTACTTTTTAAGCTTCATGTCTACCTTCATGTACTTGGGACAGGGGCGGGGAGGGGGAAGATGGGAGAAGCCAAAACTATGTATGAATTAAAACAGGAGTATATTAGTCGATGTAAAATCCAAAAAGATATTAATTTATAACCACAAAATTTAAACTTTTGATAAATTTAGTATTCATTTTACTTTTCAATGTAATAGAGGAAAAAATGGCTTAATATAAAACCCAAGGCTTTTCTTTTATTCCATTATATTTTTCAAAATTAGTACCTACAAAGACATGTTGAAAAAAACTCTGTTGTCATATTTTAATTGGTATCGTGCCAGTTGCTATGTCCTATGACCTAGGAATGATAGTCCTAATATACTTTTCATCTGCTAAGTATTTTCCTTCTTTCAAGGTTCCAGATTCCCCACCCCCACCCCATATTTAACATGTCTGACACCAGAGATCAAGAAATGGCACGTCCATTACCCTCCCTACCTTTCCTGGGCAGCCCAACAGCAGTCACCGAGTGACCTTTACATTCACTACTACACTTGGGCTGCCCCTCCCCATCTGAGTGGTGCAGGACAGAATTCCACTCATCTTAACATTCCACATTGATGCTACTCTGTGTAGGCTACACAGTCACCTGGTATTCTTTACACAAATTCTGACATTCAATAACGGAAAACTTTTGCTTGAATTTAATTTTAAAACTTGGAAATTAGGCAGATTCCAACAACAGCAGCATAACAAAAGATTAAATAGCTTAGAAATTAGGATGATGATACTGGCACAAGCTAGGTTTGTAAACCCTTTTCCTGTATCTAATTGCCTTAAGCAGTTAGTTACTCAGTACAGCTTGGCCACCCTGAAGCAGTTCTAACTGCAGTCATCATCCTGAAGATGTGGCCACAGCATCACCCTTCTGGGTCTTCCAGCATCAAAGAGTCTAGAAAGAGTGAAGGTAACCTTCGCTTTGCATAATGTATTTAATAACAAATGCTGGCAGACAGTATCAACTCAAATTCTATTTAAAATGCTTTTTTTAAGTCTGCTAATAAAGTGAAAATATTTACAATACATGCTACCCATAATTTTTTTAATGGCATGAGGTACTTACATAGGTACTTACTCATTTCTGCCAGTTTTTGTTGAAATTTGGATTCTCCTCCGAGTTGTTTACTGTAGAGTAAAAAAAAAAAAAAGGAAAACATTTCACATGCACATGTATAAGTGAAAAATTCAAATTTCTATTAACTATGGTGCTTTATTTATTGATTTGTGAAATTACATTTTACCTTTAGTTACTAGAGATATAGAATCTATCCAAAATGTAAACTTCATAAATAAATCATGAACATTTTATTCATGTTTTTAATAAAACACTGCTGTTGCTGTTGTTATGTGCCATCAAGTTGTTTGTGACTCATAGCGACCCTATGTACAACAGCCCTAAACCGTGCTCTATTCTGTGCCAATTGCATTGCCTCTGACACACCCATCCCGATTACCCCAGTCACTGAATCAATCCACCTCATAGAGGGTCTTCCCCTCCTGCGCTGTCCCTCTACTCTACCCAGCATGATGTCCCTCTCTAAAGACCTGTCTCTCCTTACAACATGTCCAAAGTATGTCAGACGAAGCCCCAGAATCCTTGCCTCCAAGGAGCAGCCTGGTTTAACCCTCTCTAGGATGAATCTGTTTGTTTTCTTGGCAGTCCATGGAACATTCAATACTCTTCTCCAGCACCACAGCTCAAAGGCGTCAATTCTCCTTCTAGCCTCCCTAGTCATTGTCCAACTCTCTGATGCATAACTAGTGATTGCAAACACCATGGCCTGTATCAGGCGCACCTTAGTCTCCAGAGAGACACTGTTGCTCTTGAGTACTTTAGAGAGGTCCCTAATCGCAGACTTTCCCATCGCAGTACATTTTTTGATTTCCTGGCTACTGGTGCCAAGAGTGTTGACCGTGGAGCCGAGCAAACTGAAGCTGTTAACATTTTTTTCAGGACAGGCATTTTAAATATTTAATGGTGAAATTAAAAATGTCAGCAACAGCTTTCAAAAGAGAAGTTCAGATTTTCAGCATATGCGATCTGCACTGAGTTCTGACACAGCTGACCTAATAGTTGTGGCATGCTTTTAACTTTAGGATGCACTGGTACCTGTACTGGAGAAATCCTCCCAACTTGCAAATACAAGTGGCCTGCAAGGGAATGGTGAATGGTGGGAAGGGGGAGCAGAGTGGAGCCTGGCTCTCCGGTGACCTGTCCAGCCACTGCAGTTGTGGCATTGCTCCTACCTCCCATCGGGCTCATCATTCCCTTCCACGTCAAAGCGCAGCTTCTTCAGAGGTTTGGGAGGGATGCTTCCTTCAGCACTTCTCTTGAGCGCGCGCTCGCTGTTACACACCATCTGATTTATTTTCTGGAACTTCTCAGAGGTCTATGAATTACAGAATCCGTTATTTTAAATAGTTCTGTAGACCCTTAACTAGAAATCCCTTGGTTTGGGGTAAGTGAAAAAGCAGCAGAGGTGGCATGTGCATTTGACTTTTCTGCTTTACTTAAGTAAGAGATGAGAAACCCAAGGGAAGCGTAACTTACTTGGCACTAATTAAACACCCACACTTTTAAAATGCTCCCGTCTCTTCTCAGGAGGTACTCGCTCTTCCTCCAAATGTCACTATTACTTTGAAATTCTTGTTCCCTATTTGCAGGACTCATTCCAAACAAAACCAGAAACAAAACCACTTCCCTCCCAGATGCACACAAAATGGGAATAACTTTTGGGGAATGTTTGGGGGGTGGGGGTGGGGGACAGAGCAGAACCAGAAGAGAAGGTCACATAAATTTTATAAGTTTAGGGACAATTCGCTAGGCAGAAAGAAATAATATGGGCAGTCTCCCCACCCTCTGGAGCGGTAATACACACTGAATACAGGGCTACTGAATTAACAAAGTTAATGGGTGGCCAACTAGAACACTTAATTCTCAGCCTAAAGTACCGGTTTCAAAGTTTGGCTTTCCCTGGAATCTCTCTGGAACAAAGATTAACACAGAAGGCGTGCCACTTACACTGAGGCAGCATCTCATATACCCAACTTGGAATGAATGTACCAGATAAAGACTATCTCAGAAGCCTGAGAAGTCTGAGGGAAGAAGGACAAGGAAAAGTGTGTGTTTAACAACAAATGTGTGCAATGAGAAACCAGTAGGTAAGGACTGGCTGGTGACATTCTGATTACATTGTAGAAGATACCATTTCAAGTCTTACGGATAATTTGTGAATTTCAACACTGTTTACTAAACACACATGTTTCTAAATTCTATCTATGCTTAGATGAAATGTTTGAATTAATGGCATGTGTAAATTAAAATTACAGAAATCTTCAGGTTTTTTTATAGTTACAAGTATATATAATTATTTTTCATACAAAAAAAAACCAAAACACAACTCACCCCAAATGATTCACCAATTGATACCAAGATTCTGTCAAGATGAAATACAGATTAATTAGTAATGAAAATCATACAGAAAAGTACAGAGATGAATATATATATACACACACATCTTTTTAAACTATCAAAAACATCAAACCAACATTTACCTGAGAACCTCTGACAAATTATTCTCCTTCAGAGCTTATCCCATAGTAACCCCATACCCACTGCTGCTGAGTTGGTTCTAACAACTACCCTATAGCACAGGCTACCCAATGGTGCAGAGTAGAACTGCCCTGTAGGGTTTCAAAGACTGTAAATATTTAGGGAAACAGACTGTCGCCTTTCTCCCATGTACTGGGTTCAAACTGGTAAACCTTTCAGTTAGCAGTTAAGTACTTAATCCCTATGCAGACAGAGCTCCTATTATCTCATAATAGTGCTGATAAAATTTCCAAGATTTTTAAAGAAAAGATGCTTGGGTGTTTTGCCATTGTTCACATTTAGAAAGGAGGAAAGAAAGTTTTTAATTCACTCTTGCTTAGTTCTTAAAAAACCTCAATAGTTCTTCATGGGTAACTTTGCAATCATAGTTTCACATTTTCTCTTATAAATTCAAGTTATATTTGGAAGAACTTACAGTATTAAAGAATGATAATTCTAATTAAGGTCTGTATTTTTTATATGGTAAAATCTATTTATGACATATCCTAGAAACAGATGTCTCTAGTGGTCTGTTTTGTCCTTGTTTGAGCCATAAAAGTTTTTGACAATAAAGCTGAAGACAGCATTAGCTTCATTTAACCTAATCAGAATAGATTTGATCATATTCATATGAGACCAGTGGAGAAAGAAATTTATTATCCTTCAATGATCCTATATGTGGTCATTCTCTAGCTACTATGTGATTAACCAGTATAATGCAATAATGCTGACTAAGAAGATTCACAGTTTAATCTGCTCTGTGCATATTTGTTGGTTCAGATTCAGAAAATTAATCAGCATGTCTTTTGATATGCTCTTTTAATGCTTAAACACTGATATATCAGTAAAGAGTTTTCAGAATTTGATTTTTGGACTTAATGAATCCCAACCCAGAATTGCTATCACTAATATCATAAACAGCTATCATTTTAAGTGTAAAGTGGAGTAATTATCTTAATTAGAAATTATATAAGTGGATATTTTCAGTGTGAGACTGTGTACCTTTAGCCAAATGGACACGGTGTGGAGTCTTAGCAAAGTAACACAGCAAGACACTGACATCCGGCTATCAGATACTACACAAGCAAAGGCTAGCACAGGGACCCAGTGGGCATCTGTCTTGTACAACCAATTATTTTTTACTTTATATTGTTCTGAAGACTGGAATTTCATCACGAGTGTGAATTACCTGTATAAATACACATATGACCCCAATGTTTTCTATGGAGTTACTTTGGAACCCTACAGGGTTCCTGTATCTTTCTCCTTGCTTGTTTCTCCTGTCCATTAAGTACAACTCCCTGGGCTGGTAATGTTTTAGTTACTACTACCTTAACTGTACTAGTTAATCTGCCTCCCACTTTACACAAACAAAGTCAGTTTCAAATAGCCCATGATAACACGTAATGAGTCAATTGAAGGACTTCAAAGGTGGAGAGCACTTGTGGTTGGATGTGGATGACAATATAATGATTTATAGTTGCACAGAACCTTTCATCTGAGCATTTTAAACAGTTTCACACTCCTCATTTCCCTGCTAGCAGCACTCCTTTGAAGTCAAGGTAGTGACCTGCCTGCCCGGGGTAGTATCAGGGAGCACAGGTAGAATTAGGGGAAAAGCTCCAGCTTAATTTACAGCCATTTACATTTAATAGACTGCTTTTTTATAACAAAGCAAAATGGTTAAAGCCCACACAGAATTTACAAGATGGCCAATAAACTATAGAATTAAATGCTTAACCAAAACCAATCTATTTAATTTAGCAGATTACAAATATATGAAAGTGTTTTGAAACCTACCACCAAACTGGTTCTCAGACTATTTGTGAAAAACCAGACCCCAGCAGCTGGGAGAGATGATAACTAAAGTACAAACCCATCCAAGTCAACAGATTACATTAATTCCTCCTATAGCTTCTATCACGCCACTTACTACATAGCAACAAATTAGAGACAAAAACCTATCACCTATTTTAAATGAAGAAAATGCTATTTTCATACTTAGATGAAAAGAATCCCCTAATCTCTACCTCTTTCCTACAAGGAAACACAAACCTTGATCTTGGAGTCATTTTAGTGGAGACTGACAGGCCTTCTGACATTTTATATGGACTTTTGAGGGGTGATATGTAGATGTTACCCCCAGGAATCCGTAGAGGTGAGTTAGAAAACTTGTAAGGGCTTCGAGGAAGGAGAGGTATTGGTGACAAGGCAGGGGGCTAGAAGAAAAAAGGAGATTGTTTTACTATTTTAATAAAATCCAGGGCTTTATAATTAGATTATTCCCAAGCAAAAGATTTTCAACATACCCTTGAGGAAGCATACTGCAAAATATTTGTTTTCAGTCTCTGCATGAAGACTGAGTTATAGAATACGATAATGGAGTCGTATTCCTCTTCTCTGATCAAAACACGTTTGAATGTCTGAGGAAGGAGAGTGGAAAAACTTGTTAAAAAGTACTTTGTTAATTTATCTTTTCAGTTTTATTTTCTACCTAGTAAGAAGCATACAGAATACAGGAAAATGTGGTCTGGAAAAGATTTCTTGGCTGGGATCGCAGCTGCTGCACCAGAAATGATCACAGAGAAGCAGTGAGGCAGCCATGATGGAATACTGACAGAGGCAGCATGGCAAGCTGTATGGTCCTCAAAGCCCGGAGCAGGACGAGAGCCAAGGACGTTACCCCCTAATTATTAGACTACACCTCCTGGAACCCCATTTCATCTCCCAATCCTAACAACATATATTAAAATATGAATCTGGTTAATAAAGATGTTGTTGTTGTTGTTATGTGCCGTCGAGTCAATTCCGACTCATAGCGACCCTATGCACAACAGCCCTAAACCCTGCTCTGTCCTGCGCCAAACGCACCGCCTCTGACACACCCATCCCGATTACCCCAGCCACCGAATCAATCCATCTCATAGAGGGTCTTCCCCTCCTGCGTTGTCCCTCAACCCTCCCAAGCATGATGTCCCTCTCCAAGGACCCGTCCCTCCTGGCAACATGTCCAAAGTATGTCAGACGAAGCCCCAGAATCCTTGCCTCCAAGGAGTAGCTTGGTTTAATCCTCTCCAAGATAAATCTGTTTGTTTTCCTGGCAGTCCAGGGTACATTCAGTACCCTACTCCAGCACCATAGCTCAAAAGCATCCACTCTCCTTCTGTCCTCCCTAGTCATTGTCCAACTCTCTGATGCATAACAAGCGATTGCAAATACTATGGCCTGTATCAGGCACACCTTAGTCTCCAGAGAGACACTGTTGCTCCTGAGTACTTTAGAGAGGTCCCTAACAGCAGACTTTCCCATTGCGATACGCTTTTTGATTTCCTGACTGCTGGTGCCAAGAGTGTTGACTGTGGAGCCGAGCAAACTGAAGCTGTGAACAATCTCAATCTCTTCGTCATCCACCCTGAAGCTGCCAATTGGTCCAGTGGTGAGAATCTTTGTCTTCTTGACATTGAGCCTCAGTCCATACTGAAGGCTGCAGTCCTTGACCCTTCGCAGCAAGTGCATGAGGTCCTCGTCAGTTTCAGCAAGCAGGGTTGTGTCATCTGCATAACAGAGATTGTTAATAGACCTTCCACCAATCCTGATGCCACTCTTCTCATAGAGCCCAGCCTCTCGGATAATCTGCTCTGCATACATGTTGAAAAGGTATGGAGACAGGATGCATCCCTGGCGTACACCCTTCCCAATTTTGAACCATGCAGTGTTACCCTGCTGTGTTCTGACTACTGCCTCTTGGTCCAAGTACAGGTTTCGTATTAGCACAATTAAATGTTCTGGGATTCCCATTCTTCTCAGAGTCAGCCACAGTTTGTTATGATCCACGCAGTCAAATGCCTTTGCATAATCAATGAAACACAGATAGACATTCTTCTGGTATTCTCTGCTTTCAGCCAAGATCCATCTAACATCAGCAACAATATCCCTAGTACCACGACCCCTTCTAAACCCAGCCTGGACTTCCGGCAGTTCTCTGCTGATGTGCTGTTCTAATCGTTTTTGGATGATCTTCAGCAGAATCTTGCTTGCATGTGAAATCAGTGACACTGTTCTGTAGTTTCCACACTCAGTTGGGTCACCTTTCTTTGGAACGGGAACAAATATAGATCTCTTCCAGTCAGTTGGCCAAGTCAGAACCTAGCTTTCCAAGAGAAAGTTGATGTGTGGATATATTATCTAAATAATAACAATAATTACCTAGATTTTAAAGTGTTTTAAAAATCTCATCACAAAGACTGCCTACCTCTTGGACAGCATGAGGAAGATCCTTGTATGCAGTTACAATAATTTTGAATTTCAGGTCAATATTCTTCACTTTGCAAATGCCATACATGGAGCACATCATGATCTAGTGAAAAGAAATTGATATAAAAGGTCAGAATCTCATACCTTAATTATATGGTTTTGGTTTTAAAAGTAATTGACTGTTTTCATTTATCCTTACAGATAATCCTACAGGATTATCTTTTCCTATATTTGACTCGAGTTTAAAAAATCTACATGGGAAGTTCAGTCAAAATTATGTTTAAAGAAAAAATGCAAATAATCAACTCTCAGTTATTCAGAACTTTTAATCTTATTTGTAAATTGTAACTTTGGTTCTCACTCCTTAAATATTTCTTAGAAAAGTTAAAACTGGAATCAGATACAACTAAAATGTGTCTAAGTAGCACTTAACAAAAGAAAAAAAAGGCAGATGTGGAAAATGTTCAAACTACTTGAAAAAAATAATATTGGAGACAGTGGCAAAGGGGTCTAGTGACTTAAAGAAGGTGAAAAGGTGAAAAATGTCCTATTAGTTGGTCTGGGTGCTGGTTATTGGATGAATTTAACTGACTTTTGCAAATAAGATCTTTAAGGTCATTTAAATCTTTAGTTATTAAAATACAACTTTGTGTCCTAAAGTTCTAATTTGTGAGAACTACAGCAAAAATATTAACGGTGGCTAGCACATGAGTATGTACATCATGCTGGGAAAAGCAGAGGTTCAGTGAAGGAGGAGGCTCTCAAAGAGACTCATGACACAGTGCCTGTGACCATGGGCATAAGCACAGCAGAGACTGTGGGCATCGCAGGGCTGGGCAAGGATTCGCTCTATGGGACACGGGGTTGCTATGAGTCGGGACTGACAACAAAACCAAGTTGATACAGTTTCCTTTTTGCACTGAATCTTTAAGAAATCAGTATTTAGTTAAAAACGTAAGCAGGGAGAAGAGAGAGTGAAGTGCTGGACTTCCCTACCTGGTCCAAATGCCTGTCTCTCATGAGCTCATACTCATTTTGCAGCGTGTGCTGGTAAAGGGTCCAGATGATGTGCTCAAGTTCTGGGTGGTTAGAGAGAAGGCGCGCGCACAGCGTACTGAGGCGGAGATAGGCCAGCCGGTACACTGTGGAGAGAGGAGGGACCCATGACCACTGCTGTTTGCTTCCAATTACAGGTGGATTCCTTTTAGAACGGTAAATGGTTATAACCCTAATGTTCTAAAAACATTTAACAGATGCCTCTCTTCTATCGTCATTATTTCCCTTATGAAGAAATGATTCTTAGTCTTAGCACAAAGGGAGCTCTGGGGTCACAGTCCGGAGGCGCTGTTGACCCAGAGGCGGTGCCTCTCAGTTAGTTCGAATCTGCCAGTAGTTCAGAAGGAGAAAAAAGAGGTAATCGCCTCCCGTGCAATTTAAAAACTCCAAAACCTGCTGGAGGGGCAGTTACCAATCCATTTAGTCTAAATGGCAGTGAGTGAGTTTGACCATCTCAGGACAAAGTTAGGTACATTGAAAATGTAATAATAATAATAATAATAATAATAATAATAATAAGTATTGTTAACAACTATAGCATGAAATTGAACTGGGGCGTAAGAGGAGAAAACTGTCCTGAGGTATTGTGAAATAGATAAACAAAATGGTCTGTCTCAGTTCTGTTGTAATCACTCATCACAGATGTTGGAAATTCCCACCATCAACATTCAAGAAGAAGAAATATATTTTAAAATAATGGAACTGTCCAGTGTCTATGAGTTTTTCCCATCATAAAAAAAATTAAGCAGAACAATTCTCTATAAAAAAAAACCAATGGAGTATATTTTGTTGAGAACTGGTTGCCTTATAGCTGACATAAGTGGTAACGGTAACACTTTTAACATGGGATTTTTTTAGAGTACTTTTAAAATGTACTATTGGAAATACAAGCTTGGAGAAAAGGAATCCACAACATTCAATTTCCTCAATTTACTTTAAGTATAAAGTTGCTGATTTAAAAATCCCAAGGACTTTAAAAACTAACACTTTATCACAGTGATCCTGAACTCTGTGTTTGTATTAAAAAGTCCAAACCCACTGTCATGAAGTTCAGATGAGGTTAAAATCTTTACTGGAGAAGACTTCCCGGCTTTCTTTTGCAGAGTAGCAGGTGGATTCAAACCACTGACCTTTTCATGAGCAGCATGGCATTATACATAATACCACCATGATCCTTGACTGGGGGGGGGTGTGCTTATGCAAACAAGGGCTGCGAGGCCCCACAAAAGATTCTGACTGAGTAGGTCTAGAGTATTCCCCCAAATCATTTATTCCACTTTTCAGGGGACCCATACTTGGAAAATCTCCAATTTAACCTGAAGCTCAGTCTTATGTGTATAAAGGTTACTATATTTATGACTTGAGTAAAATCAGAAAGATAATTTACATAAAAGAATATGTCATTTCACTTCTTTTTCTTTCTTTTTTTTTTTCCACAGTACTCACTTCTTTTTCAAAAGTTGCTAATGGCTATGGACTTGTAAATGCACACTTCCTGCATACCACTCCAACCTCTGACTCAGTACTTGAGGATATGCTGTGTCTAGTGACCACCCTCCTTAAATACCTGAAAAGATCCCAGCAGTGTGTCTGCACTAGGTCACAGCACAGTGTAATACCAACCAACCCTATATTCATACCCCAATAGCCAAAGTAATAGCAGGTGTAAATCCCTCCAAACATTAATCTGAAAGCATAACAGTAGTAATAGTAACATCTAACACCTTCTAAGCACTATGTGTTAGGCACTGTTTGAAAGGATTTTATACTTACATACATTCATATATATAATCATCATTACCAATTATTATCAATACCTACCTTGTAGGTATTATTATTATTATTAAAAGGCAGACTATGTTATTGGTTTTTTTCATTCTACAAATCAGGAAATTCAGGCACAGAACCCAGTCAGTTTGATTTCAGAGTTCATACTCTAAACATAATACTCTACTCACCTTTTTTGTAAAACAGTGAAAGAGAGGTAGATTTCAATGGCTTCTGAGGTGGGACGGTTGATGCTCCTGGTGCCTCTGCACTGGCAGCTGCAGCAGAAGTTGCACGTGCCGCAGGCCCTTTTTTCTTTGGGGATCTTACGGGAAAAAGAGACTTTGATATAGTCAAAGTAAAATCTTCCCTTGAAGATTGCTAAATATCACACTCTCTCTCTGTGGGTCTCTACCTCTCTCTCTCTCATACATCCCTGTACACATATACTCAAAGATATACTGTTCCTTACTGTTTAATGTTACCATATATTAAAATTTCTTGAACAAATTACTTACATTTGTATATGCTAGTGAAATTGAAACAAGAAAATAACACCAACTGAAAAGTAATTGTTACTGATACTAAAAGTTATTTTATTTCTCTGCCTCTCCTCTGAAATATTTTCTTAATAATTATGGTTTACATATATGATACAAAGATAAGTTACATATACAAAAATATATATACATGCATAGAACTTGATTATAAAAGAAGAAATTCTGTGTCTTTATACTTCAGATAACAAGATAAAGGCAGATTTACAGCTGTATCCTAAACATCTCAGAAGAAGCAGAGAGGATAATAAATAAATATTGTATCTCAATCTCTAACAGCTCTATTGCTCTGTTTGTTGTTCTCTAAAAGAATAATCCAAATCTACTTTCTAATTTTATCTAAGAAACTCAGGAATAGTTCTTGAAACAGCACATGTACCTCACTGGGGACATTTCTACTACAAAGATACTAGGAAAAAGAGCTCACCATCTACTGTTGCTGTCAAGTTTCTTGTCTATTGACTGGCAGCGTCATATAGACTGACTTCATTTTTGCACAGATTAGGATCAAGTTAGGATTCCTTGAATTCTAAATACTACTATCCAATTATCTCACTAATACTACTACTCGAGTCTCAAATGTAGTAAAAGTGAAGCCAGCTCTCGATCTCTTCCCCGTTGCCTTCTTCATCTCAGTAAGCGGTTCCATATTACACCCAGTTTCTTACCTCAAACACCTGGGAGTCATTTTTCATTTCTCTTATTTCCTCATAGCCGGTACAAAACTTAAATTCCACTACGTCTACCTATGAAACACATCTCCAAGCTTTCTTATCTCTACTGCCACATGGAAGACTCTATCTCCCCTTCTTTGACTTGGACTACTGAAACAGTTTCCAAACTGGACTGTCCACGTTCTCGCGTGCTCTGTGTCTTTCTGTCACTCAGCCTCACCTGTTTCTGAATGGAAACCAGAGTGCGGCCCTCTAAAAAGACAAGCTACACCCTGCTTGTAATCTTCATGGTTTCCCAGTGCCCTGTAATATCTAAAAGGAGCTCTGGTGGCAATGCTAAGACAAAGGCCACGCCCTTCTGCTGGTTCGGATCCACAAGCGGCTCCCAAGGGAGAAGGACAGGCACCCTCCTGCGTGCGATTCACAGCCTCCCAAAACCCCACTGGACGGGCACCTGTGAGGTGGCTCTGACGCAATGGCAGTAAGTTTTGCTTCCCAGGTTTTCTGGTCATATCCATGACCAATGGGAACTGAAAAATCTACCTTCAAATTGCCTCTTCAACTTCATCTAGTACCATTCTCCTCTTGCTTATTAAACTCCAGCTACACTGAGGCTTCTTTTTGTTCTTCAGATCACTAAAGTTCAATCTGCTCTCAGGCCTCTGCGCATGCTCTCCTCTCTGCCTGGAACATGGATTTTCTCCTGGCCACCATCCGCTTGTTCTTGAGGTCTCAGGTCAAAATATGCCTTCTTTAGAGAACATTTCCCTAAACACTTGCCACACTCTCAGTTGCTTTCTTCCTATCACTTTTGTTTATTTCCTTTAGAACTTTTATTGTACTCTAAAGCCATCCTATTTATAAGTCTACTTGTTCATTGTTTCCTTCCTCCATTATGTTAAGTTCTATGAGACGGGCCAAATCCTTCTTACCTTTATTGTCCCAGCACCCAGAACACTTTCTGGTACTCAACAGAAAACTGCTTACTGAATTAAAAGAAGCTACAGGGGCTTGACTTATTTATACAGAAGTATGACCTAGCAAACACATTTATACATCAACGAAGAGTCTTCATATTCTACAAATGCAAGTTAGCATGGAAATAACCTCTCTGGAAAACAAACCAGACCACAAGACACAATAATGTCGCTTCCTTCACAGCGCTAAAGAGAAACATACTAGGTCCGTTTGTACAAAAGCAAGAGCAGCTAGTGTTAAAGATGAGGATGGATTCTGGGGGTCAGATTGCTTGAGTTTGATTTATGTTAGAGAAATGACTTCACCTCCCAGACAACTGCCCAGTACAGGGCACACCCTCCATACGTTAGCTCTTT